CACATGTTGGACATCGAGAGTTTCTCGTTCCTCAACCGCGCCCTGGAGAGCGACATGGCCCCGGTGCTGATCATGGCCACCAACCGCGGCATCACCAGGTACCTGAGCACACCTGGGCACACCTGGGCACCCCAAAATATCACCTGAACACCCCCAAAATTCACCTGAACCCCCTCAGGATCCGGGGCACCGCACACCGCAGCCCCCACGGGCTCCCCTTGGACCTGCTGGACCGGCTGCTGATCATCGCCACGGCGCCGTACGGGGACAAGGAGACGCGGCAGATCCTCAAAATCCGGTGAGACACCCCAAAAATCCATCCTGGCACCCCAAAATCCACCCTGACACCCTAAAAACCCTCCCTGACACACCCCAAACACACCCTGACAATCCCCAAAGCCATCGCCACGGCACCGTATGGGGACAAGGAGACGCGGCAGATCCTCAAATCTGGTGGGACACCCCAAAAATCCACCCTGGTACCCCAAAATCCACCCTGACACCCCAAAATCCACCCTGGCACCCCAAAAATCCACCCTGGTACCCCAAAATCCACCCTGACACCCCAAAAACCCTTCCTGACACACACCAAACACACCCTGACAATCCCAAAAGCCATCGCCATGGTTCCAAACGGGGACAAGGAGACGCAGCAGATCCTCAAAATCCGGTGGGACACCCTGAAAATCCACCCTGGCACCCCAAAATCCACCCTGGCACCCCAAAAACCACCCTGGTACCCCAAAATCCACCCTGGCACCCCAAAATACACCCTGGTACCCCAAAAACCCTCCCTGACATACCCCAAACACACCCTAACATCACAAAAACCATTGCCACGGCCCCAAACGGGGACAAGGAGACGCGGCAGATCCTCAAAATCCGGTGGGACACCCCGAAAATCCACCCTGGCACCCCAAAATCCACCCTGGCACCCTAAAATCCACCCTGGTACCCCAAAATACACCCTGGCACCCCAAAAACCACCCTGGTACCCCAAAAACCCTCCCTGACACACCCCAAACACACCCTGACAATCCCAAAAACCATCGCCACGGCGCCGTACGGGGACAAGGAGACACGGCAGATCCTCAAAATTCGGTGAGACACCCCAAAAATCCACCTTGGCACCCCAAAATCCACCCTGGTACCCCAAAATACACCCTGGTACCCCAAAAACCCTTCCTGACATACCCCAAACACCCTGACAATCCCAAAAACCAT